AAGAGGAAGAAAAAGGGTGTATTCCCTTAGGATTTTGTTGTTGTTGTTGTTAGGGAAGAAAACTTGTTTTACGGGCCCTCTCTAATGTCACTGACCAGGATTGGATCTTATGACTATGTTTAACTGCAAGGAAGCTGGGCAAGTGTAGAATCTGAGGTTTTCAACTTTATAGTGGTGTGTGCTGTGTATGGAAAGGAGCAGATGGGGATAGAAATTACTGTTGGGTAGCAACCAACAGTAACCACAGATGGCAATGTGGTTAGTAGTAAAAAGGTCAAGGAAGAGATCAATTTAAAGGATAGGTTGGAAGGGAAGAGGCATTAAAAATGACTCCAGGTTTAGGTGGTGAATGAACACATTTACCAAAATATATTTTCCAATCTGAAATTGAATTGCGTCCTTACTCTCTTACTTGAATCACTTACTTTTATCTAAAGCTCTGTGCCTGGTACCTTATATTCCCAGTTTCAAATCATGAAAATGGAGGAGCATTTGGAAGTAGTACAGTGGTTTTTAAATGCCACTCCTAGGACCAGTGCCAGCTTGCTGCTTAAGAATCACTTGGGAGCTTGTTAAATAAATCAGACTCTGGGAATTGGTATTTTTAGGTATGGGATTTGACCATCAGTTTTGCTAACAAGCTCCCCAGGTGATTCTGATGCACAACTAGCTAAGTTTTAGCACTTTTACTAGGAAAAGTGTGGGCTTTGGATTCAGGCAAACCTGAATTTGCATCCTAACTTGTCACTTAACTGTAGGAACTTGGGCAAGGCATTTGACCTCTCAGAGCTCAGGTTCCTCATCTGTGGAAATGTGTAATAGTAAAAATAACAACTACGTTTCAGAGCTTTTGTGAACTATAGAGATATTATACATGTAACACTGTAAGGATGTGTGGCACTAGTGGTTATAGTTCAGTTCATATCATTATGTGTGATAGCCTATAATAACTAGCAAGCATTTGATTTATTTCAGAAACACAGATTTTTGTACAACTACAACAACAAAAAATAAACAGAGTATAATAAATTGCTTCTTTTGCTGCATAGTATTCATTATAATCAATAGCTGATTCCCTTTTAACCCCGTCAAATATCTTCTAGTCTTGATCATATTTTCTTAACTGCTTTTTTGGCTGTGTCTGTTTTGTGTAGTTTATATAACTTATAAATTTATTTTATAAATACCAAAATCTCTAAACCCAATTTCTATGAAATATGTTACTTATTTAATAGAGGCTATTTTTCATAGTGATCTCATATTAAACCTTAAACTGAACATGATTTTTGTTCTTAAACAAAAAGGCAATATGAATTCAGATAAAAGTATTAAGTGTACATTAAGGATCATTTTGTTATTCTCAAAGTTTATGTTATGTAGTTGCCTGGGTTGTTAATTGGAATGTAGCTTTGGATGGTGGTTTTGTGTAGTAAAAAACCACTTGGTAAGAATGAATGTTTATTTTTCCTCTTTCAGTGAATACAGAGATACTGGTGGAAAGAAGAAAGTCACTAACATTAAGTTCTTACTTTGTGCTAGAAATTTAACTTAATTCGGCTTATTGGAGCAGTATGTTGTAGTTGTTACCTGCAGTCTCTGAAGGCATGCTGCCTGGGTTTCTTGCACTTACAGTTGTCCAACCTTGGGAGATTTCTATCTTGTGTGCCTTGGTTTCTTCATTGAGTGTTACTGTACACCCACCCCAAAAGATTCTTGTGAAGATTAAATAAATTAACATAAGCAAAGGGTTTAGAAAGCTCCTAGCACATAGTATTATATAACAGCTATTTTTTGAGTTTTACAAATTTACATTGCTTTATAATCTTTACAAAAATGCCGTAAGAACTCTCTCTCTTTCTTTTAGTTATCTATTTTTTGGTCTGTAAATGTTCTTCTTATTATTTTTAAGTATGATATGTTCTTTTTAAAAATTAACTAATTAATTAATTAATTAATTTTTTAGTTGTAGATGGACACAATCCCTTTATTTTATTTATTTATTTATTTGTTGTGCTGCAGATCGAACCCAGTACCTCACACATACCCTGAGCTACAACCACAGCCCTAGGATATGTTCTTAAGCTTTATTTTACAGATAAGAAAACTGAGGCTTAGTAATAATTTGTCCATAAAATCACTTAGTTATTTATATGGTATTAAGTTGACTTGATTTTCTTTTAACCAAAAAAAAAAAAACACCACATTTTTACTACTTGGCAAAATAATTAATGGGTTAACTTTTTTAACCTTGAGTTAGTTGTTAATATTTTTGAAAGTTCTATAATTGTCCCTTAGTTTAAAATATTGCAGCAATATTTAAATATACATTGTATATTATAAGAATAATTTAAATTAATTACATAATTATAATTTACCTGGGCTTAGGTAATGATATTTTTAGAGCATCATTTTGTAAGTAGTAATTACATTAGTATCTTGGGAATTTTCATACTTTTTCAACTTTGTTTTTAATTTGATATAACTGTATGGTTATGTTTATATTTGAATATAGTACAATTTTTAAATTCACTCATGATTTAATGTGATCTGTGATTAAGTAGATAATCAAAATCTTGAAGGTTCTTAAATTTTGTAAAAAATAAAAGCATTTACGTTTGCTAATTGAAAACCACTAACATGTTGTAGTATTGACTTGAGATGTGTATCTCTTATAAGAATGATTCACTGTTCTGAATAAGGAACTTAACATCAAATATTAAAACAAGACAATTTAAAAAAAATTAAATATATAATAGAGACATGAAAAAGTGTTAAACTAGATCCTAAAGCCAATCTTATATTAGGAATTTTTCTACCTTCTTACCAAGGACATAGATTCACACACTACACTTACTTAATATAATACAATAAAATACTGTGTTGAGATAATCTTGTAGGTAAAAAGCATCACAAGTCTTTCTCCCTATGTTTTCTGTATGGTTTTAGGTAGAAAGCATTATGCACAACACACTTTGAGATTTACAGTTAGAAGCAGTGAATTTTGTTTTGAATAGCTCTAAAGAACCTATTGAATAGGGTTTTTTCCTCCTCAGGACACTTTGGCCTATCTTTTAAATTTCTTTTGGTAAAGTGCAGCATGCTTCCAGTAATTCATTCTGTCACTTTGTTCAAAGAAGTATTTGTTTTTGAGTCAGAAAGAGAACAGTTACCTTAATTTTACATTTAATATATTCTTTCTTAGTTTCCTTTCATTAATTACACATAGGTAGCAAAAGTACTGTGCATCATTTGAATTTCATTAATTAATAAGAATTTATCCAGATCTTTTCTACAAAACAATTTCTTTTCTTAAAATAATTATCCTTTTTCTTCACTAACTTGGCACTTACCAACTCATTTTTTTTCTTTCTCAGAGTGTGTGTGTGTATAGGGTGTTTTTTATTGTCACAAGTTACATCTCCAGCCCTTATTATTTTTTGAAACAGGGTCTCACTAAGTTGCTTAGGGCTTTGCTAAGTTGCTGAGGCTGCCTGCAAACGTGTGATCCTCCTGCCTCAGCCTCCTGAGCCACTGGGATTATAGGCATGCATCACTGCACCTGGCTTTTTTCCCCTCAGTAAATTATTTCCCCCCATCTGATCTTCAGGAATAAGAAAGGTCTTAATCCTCAGCAGGGCAATGTTGGAAGAGTCACTGAGAGGACAAGAGTAGAGCATATGGGGCCATGGGTTTCTCCTTGGATGCTGAAGTTCAGATCAATTGCTCTGTTAAGAGCTGATTTTTGTTTTCTGCACATGATTTGGTATCAGCATAGTAAATGCTATTCTTTTACATTGCAGTTTAGTTAAGGACATTGTTAGGGAATTAATGTTGGTTCTCCAATGCCTTTGCTATAGTACTTTGTGGTTTGGGAAAGGTTCTTGTTTAGTTAGGGGTCTAGGTTCCCAGGCTTATATTCTGGCAACAAAAAGACCAGCTGATGTCATAAATATGATTATTGTTATTTTTAGGGCTTAGTGTTTATAAGCATTATTTTCTGCATTTTTGTAACATTTCATAGTGATGAAAAGTTTTCTAATTTTCTCTGTGTATAAAAAATTTACTAAGGACGTTAAGACTTTTTTTTAAGGTATATAGGGCAAGGATTTAAGGCTCTTCTTTCTTAATCTTGGTATTTTAGTTCTATTTTATTTTTGTCTTTTGCTTCCTAAATGAAAATGTGGGACTTAAGGCAAATTTCTTCTTCTTTTTGTTTGTTCTTTTTAGATATACATGACAGTAGAGTGTATTTTGATATATTATACATACATGGAGTATAACTTATTCTAATTAGGATCCCATTCTTGTGATTGAACATGATGTGCAGTTATACTGATCATGTATTCATATACGAACATAGGAAAGTTATGTCTGATTCATCTACTTTTCTTTCCCATCCCATTTCCCTTACCTTCATTCCCTTTTGTCTAATCCAGTAAACTTCTGTTGGGGTTTTTAGCCTGTGGGAGAGATGGGGAGAGAACACCCTACCAGGACGAGCCAAGAAAGGAGAGGGCCGTCTGACTGCCCACACCCAGCCCTCCCTCGCGGAGGACAATCAGACGCGTGGGGGAGACCAGTCAAAGCAGGAGCTCCTTTACTGAGAAAAACACACACAGCTAATATAATGTACAGGAGCCAATCAGGATAAAGGTCAACAAGGTGGAGAGAGTTCACATGTACACCCATCCTACAGGCAGTAATGGGTGACAGGAGCTGTCCACAAGGGCGGAAGGGTTCTGAGCCTCTCCTAGAGGTGGTCCGATTTTTCGTCACAACTCACGGTAATGCCTTCTGGCTGATCGCCAGGCGCCATCCTAGCCGTGTGCAGGCCCCAGGACCGGGAAGCGGGTAGTAGTAGCCAGCAAGTTAGGTTTCCTCTTTTCTGATGCAACATGCCCCACATGTTACATCATACCCTACATCTTTCCCTTTTTGTTTTATTAGCAGGTGTTTGCCTTACTCGAGAGTGTGCCTGTCTTAGGTTGTCCCCCTCTGGGGATCTTACCCGTCATTGACTACCACTCTAGCTCTTCGGGCAATCCTACCTGCAGGGCCTGCAGGCCCAATGGGAAGCCTCAAGGAAGAGAGATGGCTATCGCCTATGAAGGAAACCTTTCTGCTCCCGGCTTACACCTGCACATCCTGGTAGGGGCCGTGGCCAACCTCATAGGGTTCCCAGTCAGTATCTTGTAAGACAGCGTATTACTGCTGGACCACCATCAGTTGAACAGCTCTGGCTCGATCCTTAAGAAACTGGAGGAGCCTGTTGATTACACAAGGTCCAAATGTAAATACAAGACTTATAGTAACCAAGGGGCCTATAAAGGGGATAAGGTAAGGAAGCCACCCATTTAACCCAGTCCATAGGAAGCTCGATTGCAGCTCATTTCATCGATTTTCAAGGTCTTCTTGTAGTCTTTTGATTTTGTCTTGGACAATACCAGAGTGGTTAGTATAGAAACAGCACTCCTCCTGTAGGAACAGACATAGTTCTCCTTTTCGGGCGGTAATCAGTTCTAAGCCTCGATGATTTTGGAGGACTACCGCAGCCAAGGAATCGAGTTGAGATTGCAGGTCCAAGATAGTGCTGGCAACATGGTGCATATCATCTGTCATCTGCTGAGAAAGCTTATTGTACATCTGTAAAGAAGTACCAAGGCCAGCAAGTCCAGTTCCCATCCTCGTGGCCACGATGAATGCCACGAGGGAGACAATGAGGAGTCCGGTCACAACCAGGCAAAGCGTCCAGAATGGTCTTTCATTCCTGCAAATGAGAAAATAAAGAATCATACCTCAAGAGGGGGTGCTTTTGGGTAATCATTTTTGTTCTGGTGAACAGTATTTTAGATCTCTAGCGGATACCCAAATTGACTTGGCTCCCCAATAGGGAATACACACCCAATGCCCTCCCTACACTAATGAGGGGATTAGGACCGCACCATGATCCAGTAAGGGGGTCCCTCCATCGGACCTCTACCTTCAAATAAGGTGTCTGATTAGACCAATGTCTCTGGAAAGCAGTTAGAGGTTGGTCTTTGGAAAAATTTAAAATATTTAATGTAAGCATGGCTGTCCTTAATTGGTCATGGCGGTTGTTTCCCCCTTTTTGTTTGATTAGTTGGTCCTTTAAAGTCTTATTATGCCTCTCAATTATAGCTTGACCTTTTGGATTGTATGGTATTCCAGTGGTGTGTTTAATATTCCAAGTTTGGACGAATTCTTGTAATGATTTGCTCACAAAGCAGGGGCCCATTGTCTGTCTTAACCTGTAGGGGTAATCCCAAAATGGCAAAACATTGTAGGAAATGGCTTTCAGCGTGTAGAGCTTTTTCGCCCGGATGAGCAGTTGCCCAACAAGCATGTGAATAGGTATCTATAGACATAAATAGTTGAGGCTTAAGGAGACAGAGTCCAACCTAAGTTAAAAGGGGGTAAGGTCTGGACCTTATCACTAGATATATGTAATCCTCCTTTCTGTAAGAGAGTCTGGAGTTCCTTATAGGCGGAGCCTAACGCTTTGGCGTCTGCTGCCCCAATAATGATACCATCCATGTAAACATATAGAATTATGTCCGATTGCCTCCAAAGGGGTTACAGGACTTGTGAAACATAATGTCGACAAAAAGCTGGACTGTTAGCCATGCCCTGGGGTAACACCACCCACATATCTTTGGTCTGGCCCCTGGAAGTTAACAGAGGGAATGGAGAAGGCAAACTTCTCACAGTCCTGGGGATCAAGGGGAATAGAAAAGAAGCAATCCTTGATATCAATCACAATGAAAGTCAAATCCCGAGGGATGGAGGGGATCCAGGGTAGCCCTCGCAAAGGGGACCAACGGGAATCATCCGCTCATTAATCTTTCTTAGGTCCTGTAACATTCTCCATTTCCCTGTGGCCTTTTGTATGAGGAATACAGGACTATTCCAAGGGCTCAGGGAGGGCCTAATATGCCCTGGGGTCAGTTGTTCTGATATTATCTCCTTTAGCGTTTGTAGTTTGTCTAGGAGAAGTGGCCACTGTTCTACCCACACTGGAGGGCCCGGAAGCCATTGAATGGCAGGGACGGTAGGAACAGTGGCCTCTAGGTTTGGGGGTGAGGCCTCACACAGAGTACAGGAGCATTCCGCCTCGATGTCTCAAAAAGTGGATCCCCCCGGTAATTGCTAAGGGGACCTGATAGGCCAAACTGTTGCTGGTATTCCTCTTCCTCTAGGATATCGTCATATATCCCTTTGTGATCTGTGGTGATGAACACCTCAGCTACCCCCAAAATATCCTGTCCCAGCAGATTAGCTGTCAGGCCAGATGCCACCAGAGGGCGTACCTCTCCCTGACTACCATTTACATCCTTCCAAGTAAGCCAATTTTTGGTTTCTTCAGACCTTGTATCAACCCTCACCCTAATAACTGAGGTCCGGGAATCAGTTTCCATTGTGGGGGAACCTCCTCTTTCCTTAATACTGTCCCATCCACTCCAATGTCAATCAAGCAGCGAAACTTTTTCCCTGCTATGAAGATATCCATTTTTGGCCTAATTCCCAGGATTATTGGGACTGTCCAGTGGGCCCTAGGTGGGTCACTAGGCGGGGTACCTCCTTTGGGCAACAGGGCTGGAGGGTGCCCTGTTATTAATTTAAAGGCTTCCCCTCAATATCAAATTTGGATTTACAGTCCCTCCGCCAATGGAATCCCTTTCTAAACCGGGGGCAAGTCATCTTAGGCGGAGTTTGCCCCTTAGTCTGGCCTGAGGGATGTCTCTGTGGGGCACCAGGTCTTATTCAGCCTGTAGGGCACTCTCTTGAAGTGGCCCTGTTGGCCACACCCATAACAAACCCCTTTCCCAGCGCCACTGGAAGACGCGAGGGTGGTACTAAGGGCCTCAGCAAGCGAAGCCCTTTGGGCCTACAAGGCTGCGACCAAAGACTGGTTGGTGGGCCTGAGTACCGACATCCTTAGGGGCCACTATCCACCTCCCCATAGATCTTTCACCCCATCATAGGCTAGTTTGTGGTCTGCCGTCATCCCCTCCCAAACCAGCATCTTGACAAACTGGTCCTGAAGGGGCCCTGGGGGGAATTTCCTTTGGAGGCTCTTTTCCACCCTCTCGATGAAGGTGGCAAGATCCTCGGTAGCCCTCTGAGTAATTTCTGCTACTGGGGGCTTTGAGGGGTCTTCCTTCAACTTTTTCCATGCTGCCAATCCTAAAGCCCATACCTGCTCCTGGTAGGGGGCAGGGAGAGCAGCCTGCTGAAGGCCTGTGGAAAATTGATCACTGGACCCCGACAGCATCCCATAAGTTACAGGAACTGGGGGATTAACAGCTTGATTCCTCTCAGCCTGAGCATGGCACTCCTCATTAAAAAACACACCATTTCAGGTACAGGGGACCAGGAAGCACAGTCTTGGTTAAGTTTTTCCAGCCTTGGGTGGTACACTGTTGGTGGGCCAGACCCTGGAGGATGGTTTCGGCCCATGGTGAATTAGGTCCATCCTCGGAGATGGCCTTTTTGAGTTCTTTCAAATTGTGGGCCTCCCAGGAATACCAAAAGTCCAGACTATTACCCCCAGGGTTAGTATTTACCGGGAAAGCCATACACGATGGGGATAAGTCATTGCTGGTCTTACAAGATGGCGGCTTAACTGGCTTTTCCGGATTTGCACAAGATGGTAGAGAATTTCTTCAGGGGAGGGGTGACATGGTGGAGGCTGCTCCCCATCCCGGCTGTCTACCATGTGTTGCGGGACAGGAGCACTTGGTGCGGAATTCAGAGGACCAGGCCAAGGATCAAAAGGGTCTAGGAGGCCTTGGTCAGAGTGAGGCTTTAAGCCCTTCTCCTCCTGGGCAGCGAGAGGACTGACTCGCTGTGACCCAAGTCGCTCCTCAATAAGGGTTTCCCAAGCCAGGTCGCCCTTTGAGGTAGTGGTAGGAGGAGTAGGTGTCTTAAAAGGGTCTTTGCCGCCCTTAGATGTTCCTTTTGAGGGGCCAGGGGAGAAACAGGCTTCGAGGGCAGATAGGGTCAGGTAGACCCCCAGAGGGGGGGTCCTCTCCCAGGTTAATCTCCCTCTTCCTTACCAATTGTTCTGCGCAGTCCCAGGTGGCCCAATCAAAAAGATTGGTAGCCACCAAACAGGGCGCAGCCTGTGTCAAGGTTTCCCAGACCTTTTTGGCCTGGGCATCCGAGATCTCTAAACCTCGGCTTTTGAGCATGAATCTCAGCACTTTAAGAGCTGGGTCATTATGCCTAGTGTGAGATTGCTCCATCTCTTCAGGGAGACCCTTACCTCAGAACTCGCTTGGCTTGGCTTGCCGATACTTTTACTTTTGGTGAACTGACTTCTTCATGTCCCTGTTCGGGCGCCAGATGTCAGGGTTTTTAGCCTTCGTTCCCTCCCGACCTGTGGGAGAGATGGGGAGAGCACGCCCGACCAGGACGAGCCAAGAAAGGAGAGGGCCGTCTGACCGCCCGCACCCAGCCCTCCCTTGCCAGAGGATAATCAGATGCTTCAGGGAGACCAGTCAAAGCAGGAGCTTGTTTACTGAGAAAACACACACAGCTAATATAATGTACAGGAGCCAATCAGGATAAAGGTCAACAAGGTGGAGAGAGTTCACATGTACACCCATCCTACAGGCAGTAATGGGTGACACGAGCTGTCCACGAGGGCAGAAGGGTTCTGTGCCTCTCCTAGAGGTGGTCCGATTTTTTGTCACAACCCACGGTAATGCCTTCTGGCTGATCGCCAGGCGCCATCCTAGCCATGTGCGGCCCCAGGACCGGGAAGCGGGTAGTAGCCAGCAAGTTAGGTTTCCTCTTTTCTGATGCAACATGACCCACATGTTACATCATGCCCTACAAACTTCTATTCTTCCTTCCCCCTCCCCTTATTGTATCTCTGCATATTAAAGAGAACATTCGGCCTTTGTTTTTTTTTTGAGATTGACTTATTTCACTTAGCATAATAGTTTCTAGATCCATCTATGTATCGACAAATGCCATAATTTCATTCTTCTTTATGGCTGAGTTATATTCCATTCTTTGTATATATCACTTTTTCTTTATCATTCCTCTGTTGAAGGGCACCTTCGTTGGTTCCGTAGCTTAGCTACTGTGAATTGAGCTGCTGTAAATGTTGATGTGACTGC